TATATATATATATATATAACCAATTTATAGCAGATTTTTTTATTATATTGAATTAACGTTCAATCTTGTTCATTTTAAATTTAAAAAACAATTTTTGATYGCAACATTTTAATAAACTCAAGGCATTTAAAATGTTGTGCTTTCCTTTCATTTAGATTGAAAACCAAAAGAAGACCATCTCAGACATTTCATTACAACCTACATGCAACCCAGTGTTCAAAAGGTTCCTCAGTCGACTGYTGAAGGAAATACAGAGAATTGGTGTGGTAAGTGGGTTTTACATTTCAAGCATCACAGCTCTTGTTTTAGGAAACTTCTAATGTTTTTCTAAACATCTCCTAATGTCTCACCAGCCCAGCGATTCCACAGACATCTTCTATGATGCAAAAATAAAACTGTCCAAACAAACCACAGCAGAGATTCAGTCCCTTCTGAACGGTGAGGACAGATGGAGGACGGGGGCCCTGGACAATGCTCTCAGTCAGATACTGGTGGACTTCAAACCTCATCATTATGAAGCCTGGAAATGGCGTTTTGAAGACACCTTTGGCGTGGAGCTTGACACAGTAATAAAAGTAAAATCATTCAATATTTTTTGCAACCATATTTTGACACATTGTATTGATTTATTGAACTCAAAAACAACAAAGTTGCTTTATGTTACTGTAATTCAGCTAAACGTTGGCACTTTTTTAAAGCTTTTGTTGTGCCTTTATGTATTAAGAGTTTCCTATCTTGTGTATTTTAGTTATTACTCCTCTTTCTTTTACAGGTTTTAATATYCATTTTGATTTTATCAGCCCTCATCTGCACTCAAATGTGGTCATTAGTCTCCTGGTTTGTGCAGTTCAAGAGGATGTTTGTTGTTTGCTTCGCAGTCAGCATTGTYTGGAACTGGTTGTATCTGTATCAGGTGAGAAAGAGCTCTTTTTCAGTTCTCTTGCTTTTAGTTTAGCTTTTATTCGGTCTTTATGAAAATCATTTTTTTCTGTGTTTGTTCAGACTGCCTTTGCTGAGCACCAGAAAAAGATTGTGAAGATGGAAAACTTCAACGATAAATGCACAGGAGTGAAAAGAATGGACTGGACTGATAGTCTTAAAGGTAAGCCATTGAGGATTATTAATAGGATTTATTTTTTAACTTTTGGAAGATTACCTTTAGTTTGTTGGGTCATGACGTGAACAATCAAGTGTGAACTWCTTTCTGGTAACAAGGACATAACACATCAAGAAAATACTAATTTGTGTGCAACTAATCATTATGGGGTCTGCTGTGGATGTGTGGTCAGGGGTGTACTCCTCCAATGAGAGAGCTGGCAGTTTAATTCCACCACTATTCAGTCAAACAGTGGGTAAAATAAGTATTGAACATGTCACCATTTTTCTCAGTAAATAAATATATTACTAGAGGTGCTAATGACATGAAATTTTCACCAGATGTCAGTAACCCAAGTGATCCATACATACAAAG